CTGAACCCTGCCGTGTTTTCTGAACACTGCCCTCTTCCAGCCAAGTGCTGCTCACGCATGCCCTGCCCTCCATCACCTCTGGCCTTGGCCCTCGTGGGCTCCACCCCCGTCTCCCCTTTGCCCAGTGCCTACCCATCCCTCAAGGCCCTAATGCCTTCTCCTCTGGGAAGCCTTCCTTGTTCCATCCCAACAGTTAAATGTGCTTTCTTTCTTTTTCTTTTTCTTTTTCTTTTTTTTTTTAGAGGTTTTTGCTATAGGGCATGTGCACTCGCCAGAGAGACATAGAGACAGAAAGCGAGAAATCACCTCCCAGGGGGATGGCCACGCCGCAATCCCTTCTCCTCCATTCTCCTCTCGGGATCTTGGGCACGCATGCACATGCACCTGGCGTGAGTTCTAAGCCACCGGGTCCGGGACGCGAACCGCGGTCGACTACGTGGGAGTCCAGTGACATAGCCATTACGCTAACTGCTGGTTCCCTAAATGTGCTTTCTTGATCTCTGCTGCTGGCCTGGTGCTCAGAACTCCTTCCTTGTATTAAACTTTGTGTGTCTCTGTCTCACACACTCCGTAGGTGTGTCAGGTCTGAGGGGACAGGAGAAGGGCCCCAACTGCTCCGAGGCTGTGTACATTTGTGGAATGAGTGACTGGGGGAAGGGGCGCCCTGCCTGGGTAAAGGCAGATCCATGAGCTGCTGCATCTGCTCCCTGCAGGCTCAAGGTGGGGGAGGGAGCACAGTAAGACTGCCGACACAGATAAGGCCCAGTCTGGTCACCAGGCCGACTCCCAGGTATGCACTCAGGGCAGGGAGCTCAGGGTGGTCTTGTCGGGAGGCACTTACCTGGTGGAATCTTGCAGACGGTGGCCGGGTGCCAGCCGTAGCGCTGGTTACAGTTGGGAGACTGGACAAAAATAGCGCTGTCGCTGAGGCACTCCGCGAAGACCTCCCCTCCGATGTAGTAGAGCCGCACGCCCCTCCCTGGAGAGACCGGGGTCAGGTTGGACCAGTGCAGCGTGCCTTCGCTCACGCGCCAGGCCCCGGGCCCACTGTGGCCAGCAAGGAGGTGTGGCTGTGGCTAACGCTCTCTGCGACTGGCTCCTTGCTGGTCCGCCCAGGCAAGGGGGGTCCTGAGCTCAAGCCCCAAACCCAAGCAGGGGAGACACAGTAATGCCAAGTCCCTAAACCTGGGCAGGCAGAAGGCCAGGGACAATAGCACGGGACAGGTCTGTGTGACGGTCTCTGCCAGCCTCGCGCGCTGAGCCTACGGTTCCCGTCTATAATACAGAGCGATGCTACTTCCTACCGCGTGGGGTCATCGTGCGGTCTTGGTGAGACATAGCCCGTGCCTGACCAGTGCTCCTGCTCCTGCCACCAGGACACCATGACAGCTTGGCCCCAAGACACAGACCTCACTGAGCAAGCCTGCAGGGCCCCCCCTTCCCGAGGCAGACGCCAGGGCCACCTTAGCTACCCTGCACCCCTCCCCCCCATGCATCTTCTGAAACATTCCTCGGGTTTATATCATTCACTTTCCCTTCATGTCGTAAATCCACTCCAGATGGACAGAAATGATTTGTGAATTGGCTCTGCGTCTCAAACAGTTACGTAGACACTGACAGCGAGCCCTCTGCTCAGCTGGGGGTGCTCCTCCTTCCCTCCTGCGAACAGCTCTGTCCACTCCTGGGAAGAAGCCCAGTGGGCTGGGACGTGGGGCCAGCTTTTAGAGGCCCAGTGTCAAGTGGGATGGAAAGCCGGTGACCAAGCTGCGTAGCACCGATGTCCCTGCCCTGCCCCACCCGCACCACTGTCCCCTCTCCTCGACCAGCTCGTCTCTTCTTATCTGGGGCCTACAGAGCTGGTGCCACACACGTGCAGGTCCACCAGGAGGGGCCGCTGTGCATGTCAGACAAGGGTGGGAGGCACTGGGAAGGCCCAGCTCCAGAGAGTGAAAGACGTTCACTTTGGCCATTTTAATTTTTTATGATTTTTGCCATAGGGCCCATGTACTTGCCAGAGAAAGAAACTGAAAAATCACCCCCCAAGGGGGATGGCCATTCTGTAATCCCTTCTTCTCCATTCTCATCTCAGGATTTTGGCCATGCACACACGTGCCCAGTGTGTGTTTTAAGCTGCCGGGTCTGGGATTCGAACCACCAAGTCAGCCATGTGGGATCTAGCACCTTAACATTCATGCTACCTGGTGGTCCTACTCTGGTGATTTTGGAAACATTACTATTACGAGTATCAGAGAGGGAGATGGAATAAAAGAGTCAGTCTGGACAGACTCCGCACCTCCTGCCCCAGCCTCCCAGCCTCCGCGTGACGCCTCTGCCACCCTTGCCCTGATCCTGCGGTTCCCATCTATAATACGGAACGATGCTACTTCCTACCGCGTGGGGTCATCGTGGGATCGTGGTGAGACACAGCCCGTGCCTGGCCAGAGCGCGCACAAGATCACCGCCAGCCACACCCGGCCTGCTCAGGCTGGTGCGGGGACGGCACCCAGCCTCCCACACGGCACGACCAGTGCGCCACCACAGCTGGGCGAAAATTGATGTTTAAAATACAGAAGAGTATAAACAAAACCCAGGGCGGCCATAGGAAGGACGGGGGTTGGCAGAGGGGGCTGCCTGTCGCTGACTTGCTGTGTGGCCCCCGCAGAGCTGTTCTCCCTCAGTATGCCCTCCCCCTCCCCCTGCCAAATAACAGCTAATTCCAGGGAAAACGGAAATACCACCCTGACCCCTGGCCTTCAAATTTTCCCTCTTAAATACAGAACGCTCTTGTCGGATGAAATCTGTGAGAGCCCAAATACAACCCAGGCAGGTGCACAAGTGACCTGGGTGACGTGGGGCCAGGCCCCTCTGCTGTCCCCAGCCTGAGCACACTCTGCAGCCTCCCAGCCCCACGGAGCTCCGGCTCCACGATGACATCAGAACCTCCCACAGTGCCCTCTCCACTGCCCGCCCACTGTGACCCTGGACGGCCAGTGGCCACTGTCCTAACTGTGTAAGTGAACCAAGTGGTCGGACCGGCTTCGTCCCATCGACAAGATGAAGGGACTGCTCGCCAGCGCTCTGGGTGGTGACCTGAGTGGGCTCAGAGCGGGCGATTCTTGGCTTCCTGTTTCATCTGTGTTGTCTAAAACAATGACATGTGAAATTAACACGCAGAAGATGACCCCTCTGAGGACTGACTGCTCATCAGCTTGGCTGTACTTTGGGGGTCGTTTTTAGCAAAAGAATTTCTTTGTTGCCTTCCTCCTAGGCTTCCCTGTCTTGTGCCCCTGAGAGCATTTTCCTCTGTGGTTCCCACACTTTCTGAGACCAGCCGTAACTGAGTGGGAATGAGCAAGCCACCTGAGCTCGGCCCACCCGGTCCCTGCACAGGGCGAGAGTGGGAGGGACGGAATGCGGAGTGCTGTCCTCTGCCGGGGAAGGGGCCCGGGCGGGCCCCCGGGTGCTTACCGATATGCCTCCGCGTGAGCTCCACAGCCGCATTCCTGTTGACGTTGGACAGCAGCCCCAGGCAGAAGCGCTCCGAGTTGGAGGGGTCGGTGAAGCCGTCCACCGTCATGGAGGGCTGCGAGGCGTGGAACGTCTCCCCCACACGCTGGTTCAGCTCGTAATAGGAGATGGAGCACCAGAAGGCCGGCTCGCAGTAGGTGACAGGCTGCAGGTCTACACAGACAAGCGGGGGCTCGTGGGCCAGGAGGTCGCCACCTCTCAGAGGGACTCCTACTCCCCCAGCCCAGGCCCTCTTAGGGTACAAAACCTGTAGGTCCAGACAGAATCCTGGGAGTTGGGGGGGTATCCCACCAGCCCACGCCGTGAGTGAAGAACCACGGACTTCATTTACTTTGAGCTCATAAAGGTGCGTCCGCCTGGTCTGCTTCAGATCCAGGCAGGCCTTAAGGAGGTGCCGGGCTAAACCCACTGAGGGCCAGGCGCCAACGGGCACAGTGAGTCCAGAAGCAGCATGGAGTGCCAGGCCTCGCTCGCCGTCCATGTGAATCCCACCCGTCCACTGAGGAACCGGGGCGTCCCCTGCTCACTCTGGGCCTCTCATGAGAGAGGGACAGAAAGGCTCACCATGCCCATGTCTCAGTACCAGCCCGCGGACCCGCCCACTGCACACTGGGCAACTCTCACGGGAGAGCCCATGGGGACCTCCACTCAGCAGACCCTCGAAGGTGCATAAAGCCCAGGACAGAAAACTAAAAGCTGTTCGCCCACAGGGAGAGGCCTGGTGGCCCTGCAGGAGAGCGGCCAGCTCTCCTTCCAGGTCTGAGGGGTGATCCCTCCAAGGATGAAGAGGATGCTGCATACAGAGGAGACTCAGACCCGCAACACGCCCGCTCCGACGGGGCTAGCTGAGGGACAGGGTGTGGCCCAGGTCTCCAGCCTGGGAGCTACTGACGCTTGGGCCAGGTGACCCCGCATTTGGGAGGAGGGGGCTCTGTACACTGTGGAGCGTTGTGCACGTCTCTGCCTTGGCCCTACATGCCAGGAGCAGACACCACCATGCCCTCCCACACTGGGACAATACAAAGCGCCCAGTTAGAGAGCACGGTGCTAGTCATGTAACCAGTCACGGGGCATAGGCTGTGAGCCGACAGAGAAGGCCGGCCAGCTCGGGCAGATTGGCTGTGCTGCGGTGCCACCCAGATGGGTTCTCTGAGCATCGGCTTCCGCCTCGCTCTCCCCAGCTGCACCAACGGGGACTCCTCTGTGTCACCGGCTCTCCGTGGACGGACTCAGATAACACACACATAGGACACGGCAAGCACCAGAGTGCAGTGTCTGCCACGTTATAACAGCCGTGATTCAAGGGCTCGGGAACACCCCGGTCCTGTCCCTACCTCCATCCTGACGGGCAGATCACCCCTGCTCTCTGCCCAGGAGGTGCAAGGGGCTACGAGGGGAAGGAGGAGGCCAGGGGCTGGAGCAGCTGGCCTGGGCCCGAGCTGGGCTGAGCCACACCAGCCGCGTCCGACTGCTCGGTGCTTCGACACGCTGACTCAATAAGGTACATCCCGAACAGGGTGGTCGCTTGGTGTGAGCTACGTCGTTGTGGAAACTCAAAAAGAGAGAAGCCCAAGAAACTTGAGTGTAATCCGAGAGTTCCAAGTGACCGGGCAACATCTCAGGGCCCAGAGGCACCAGGAAGGCTGCTGGCCACCACTGTCCCGGCCAGGCTTGCTGGCCTTGCTGTGCGACCTTGGGGCTGTGACCTCTATCTCTGGCCTCAGCTGCCTAGTTTGTACGAGGACTGCTGTGGCCCAGAAGACATCCGAGGCAGGGCCGAGGTCACCGTGCTTCTGGCATGGGTCAGCCTGAACATGCGGCTTTGGCTGATCTGGGCTGGCCGGGCTCACTCAGCGACATGCACCACAGGATGGAGTCCTCCCAGTCAGAAGCCCTGCCAGCCTTCTCCAGGTCTAGTCCGGGTGTCAGACGGTGAGGCTGCCGGGGACATTGACGCAGCCACCGGGCCAAAGAAGAAGGCCCAAGCTGCACGGGAAGCCGCCTGAACTACTGCAGGGCCAGATCCCAGCACCGACCCGACAACACGCCAGGGACATGCGTGTGGGGCAGGGAAAGGGAACTGCCACACGGATAGCCCTGTTGGGGAGGCACTGCTCGCTCTCGCTCGCTCTCTCCCGTGCGTGTGCTCACGCATACACACACTCTCTACCATGAATAAAGGAGATAAACTTGAAGAAAAGGGAAAAGCAAGCCGGCAGCCACCCATTGCTAACATGATGTGGGAACTGTGCTCCGGGAAAGTGTGTGCCTCGAGGAGGCTCAGACTCAGAGCAGGGCTTGGGGTCCTAGGCCAACGGGCCCTCCCAAGCAGATCTGAGTCCTCACCGAAACAGCCCTGCCGGGCACAGATGTGCACCGGGCAGCATGGGGGAATACCAGACACCAGAGCCCGATGTGCTGTTAGATGCCAGTCTGGGGGAGTGACAGGCTGCCTTTTCTGAAGGTGCTGCTGGGAGGAGCTGCCCTGCTCAGGAGAGGAGGGAGCAGCAGCCTCAGTCCTGCACTTAACTACTTTCTGCAAACAGATGACAGTCAGCCCTCCCTTCCTACTCCCTCCCTCCCATCACCCCTCAGCTGCCTCCTCCAGGCACTCCTGCAGAAGGAACTACAGACCAGAAAGCACAGTCACCATTCTGGGTTCTGCCTTCAGGTGTGCTTTAAAAAAATAAATTAAATAAAAAAATGTACATATGCTCTTATTCCTCTCTGACCAGAGGACTTACCCACACCATGGCTAGTACAAAATAAGCAAAGGTCAGGACTCTGGAAAGGGGAAGGCTATACACTGGATAACCATGAGGTTATAGCTCCTGAAAGAGCACGCAACTTGCTTTGAGCTTCCTAGCAGGCAGGGCGAAAAGGGAAAATAATACACTACATGGTCTGGTTGTAAGTACACAATGTTAACTAGTTGCAGAGCTTGTCCTAGGTGTCTAAATCTTAAAAGACATTTCTCAAGTGGAGATGGTGACCTCTTCCCAATAAGGCAAGCAAGCAAGCTCTGGACAGTTGAAACCAACAAACGGAATAGGTTGTTCTAAATAGGACTCGGTCTTAAAAAGGACCATTCAAAGGATTCTCTGGGAGGACACCTTTGCCAGGGGTGAGGTGACAGCCCAATAGAGAGCTGTCTCGTGTCTCCAGGTCATGGACTCGGTACACCTGGAATGGCAACTACAGCACGTGCCCAACACCTCCCCTTCAAACAGCCCTGCTCCCAGCCAGACTTCTGAGTCTGTGCTAATCTCTCTTCCCGAAGAGAAGTGTTGGAAACACAGGAGCCTCCAGCTCCAGCCGTGCTGGGTCCCCGTCCCCCCTCCTGCGTGGTGGCAGCCAGACTGCTCGTGTGGCACGGGGCGCTTAATTCACGCTGGCCCCCTGCCAGCCTAACGCACTGGCTGGCCTCAGTCTTCAGCCCTGATCCAAGCTGGCGTAGACTTTCTGTTTTGTTTAAGGAAAAGAAAACAGAATAAAACCCAGAAGGCAACACTCGGATTAAGGGGTGCCTATTAAAAACATGTGCAAGAGATTCAAATCCGGTAAAGGAAAAGGTGGGGAGGCGAGGGGAAAAATGGAAAGCCAGGAACGGGCGAAGGCCAGGGGCACTGAGGCTGCGTGGCTAAGGTCACAGCCAGCGTGGACTAGCTGCTTCTCCTTGCCCAGAGAAGGCAGCTCTAGGCCAGCCTAGGAGGCCCCGGCCTCCAGTTCCGATGTCACTGCATGCTGCCCCCTCTGTCCTTGCTGCTCCCTCTGCCTGGACTGCCCTTCCCCCCTCACTTGCTTGGCCCAGCTCCACGGTGGCTACAAAACAGTCCCTCCCTGCCCTGCGGAATGAACATCTGTGTCTACACTGCGGCTGGGTAACAGGGTACTGCACCAGAGGGTCAGTTCCCTGCAGCCCGGTCAGCCGTGTCCCCAGCCCGCCTCTCTGGGGATTTAGGCCGGAAAGCAGGAAGTCCGCGGAACGCCGTGCGCCCAGCCTGCCACCAGCGCACTGCGCCCAGGAACGCCGTGCACCCAGCCCGCCACCAGTGCACTGCGCCCAGGAACGCCGTGCGCGCCCAGCCCGCCACCAGTGCACTGCGCCCAGGAACACCGCAGTCTAAGAGCCCGTCCTCAGACCGCCTCTGGTGACTTGGTAAAGTGATGGCTGATCACAACCGAGCTGCACGAACACATCCGGCCCCGTGTTCCCCCGCAGGGCTGTGGTCTTCCTGCAGCCCTGCCACGGGCTCCTGCCACAGGAAGCCGCATGCTGTCCCGGGCCCTTTGGGAAAGCCCCGCATCCTCAAACTCCTGGTCCTCCACAGCCTGGCCACAGCCCAGTCCCTGAGCACCTCAGGGTCTCACTCTAGAGCAGGGGGCGACGCGCTCACCCGGCAGGAGGCAGCTCGGTTCCTTTCCCTCTCTCTCCACCTGCCTCCTCTTTCCCCACCATTTGTCCCAATCCTGACCTAAAGGCTTAGGAAATTCCAGGTGACTCACCCAGCTCACCACGTAGTAACAGGAACGCCACCTGCTCACAAACCCTCCCCCAGAGCCTGCCCTGGGGTGGGGAGGGCTGAGCTGGGTCTCAGTCATGCATCTGGGGCTCCTCCCAGGTCACGCTCCTTTCCAGGAGGGGGCCTGCTGCCAGGCTGGCCCAGCACCCCCAGCCCACATCCCAGCCCACGCCTGCAGTGAGGGGAGATGACAGGAGGCCAGACGCCTATGCTTCCTCTTCATTCCTTTCGAGTAACTGTCACGGGGACGTCTGCGAGAGAAGCCATCAGGTGTTCGGAGGCCCCCGTTTTTGTCTAGGAGGAGCCTGCAGGCACCTGTCTCCGGCCTGTGGTGTGGGCACACACGTATGAGTCCGACGCACGAACCCAAAGGCGCCCACAGCTTGCCAGCACCTTCTCCATGCTCAACTTCAGCCCACCTCTGGCCCATCTCTTCCCACGAGGTGCCCTTAAACTCCTGGTCAAACGCAAGGCCTCCTCTTACGCCTCACCCAGCCTCTCTGCAGAGTCTGCCCATGGCCACTGTCCTCAGGTTGCCTGACCTCTGGCCTCTGTGTCCCCCTCGTGCCCCTGAGCTCGCCCTCTCCCCCATACCCTTCACTCCTGAGTGGGCCCCACGTGCGTTTCTCCAGCCAGGTCTCCCCTGAATGCATCACTGCCATGACTTCGGGGGACCCCGTGTCAGTGTTCTCCAAGTCGGATGTCAGGACAGCCCTTGGGATAATGAGGAAAGGGCTGGAACAGCGGCTGGTCCACGCATAGCACAGGGTCCAGCAGGAACCGTGGGGCTTCTCAAAGGGGATACCACAGCGGACCCTGGGGCTGCAGGACAGGCTTTCCAAGTGCCGTGGAGCTCTGACCCACTACGGGGAAGGCTGTCACCGCCTGAGTGCTTTCCAAATCTGCACCCCCGGTCCAGCCTCTTCCTGACCCTCCAGCTGCTCCTGGGGCATATAACCAGAGGCAGCACCCCGCCAGCCCGCACCCCAGCCCCTGCTGCCCGGCCGGCCCCCTCGCGTCCTGATGCAGCGAGTACAGCTGTCCGGGCCCACGTTGTCTCTCACATGCTCTCCAGCCCTGCTGCTGTGTCTCTAGAACCTTCTCCCCCACCTCCTCCATACAACCACTGCCTAAGTGGGTTTTTCTTCTTGCCTCCAGTAATTTCCCCTAGGATCTAGACTCCACGTAGTGGCCAGATTCATTTCTGTGAAGCTGTCATCAACCCCCCTTCCCCTGACCTCTGAACCCACCAGTGGTTCTAGCCTGTAGCCGGGGGCAAAGCACAGCCCCTCATTCCTCCTGACCTACCAGCTGTTCTCGGGGCACACCTTGCCCTCATCTGCAGTGTCCCCACCTGTCCCTGAGAGCCCTGCTCACACGTCACACCTGCTCCCGAGCCCCCTAGCCCCTCCACGCCTCCCTCCTCGGCACACACAGCTGCTCTGCGCTCGCTCCCCGGGAACCTGGCAGGACACGCAGGTAGACAGGGCCACCTCTGGCCACCAGGCAGCGACGGCCGATGTGTCATCCCAGCTCTGGACTCCAACTTCAGCCCCTATGAGTTCTGCGGTGTCGACTGAGTGAGCATGGGGGGGGGGACACCTGTGCCCACTGGGAAGCCATCGTTCCCTCCTCGGAACCTTCGGGGTCTCCGTCTGCACCTACTTCTGGTTTTCTAACTGTCGTAGGTCCTGCCTCACTGACCCCACCCTGAGCGTAGGGCCTGGGAGTCTTCGTGAACCTCCCACCTGGACCGGACAGCGTGGCCAGGCAAGAGGCCTCTGGGAATGGACAGGTGAGGAAGGGCAGAGTGAGCAAGCAGGGGTCCCACCCAGGGCCATCCCTGACACCCGTCCCCAAATAACACTTAGGGAATGCTCTGCCTGGGCCCCGTTCTGTGTGAGGAGGCGGCAGGGCTGGGCCGAAGGTCCCCACAAGGCCGTGGCACGCTACCGTGGGAACACAGGCTCTGGATCAAGGATGCCCACGGTTCTCCCTCGCTGGCTGTGTGACCCGCCTCTGTCCCCTCCTCTGTAACGTGAAAGTCTGCAGTCTCTCACCGCTGCTGGGCAGGCTGGTTCTTGTCCTGGACCTTCTGAAGAAGAGCCCTAGGACATTCTCGAGGCGTCTGCCAGCGTCACCCCTCCAGCCACAGTGCGCGTCTGTGGGGCCTATGGGGTCAGGGTGTAGCCAGAGGTTGCCAGTGGACTGGGGTGGGACAGGGGCTGATCCAGCAAGGAGGAAGCCAGGCCTGTCAGCACCGGCCCTCACTGTGAGTCCCAGCCCTGACTTGCCGGCTGACTCGCCCCCGATTCAGCCCTTCCCAGCAGAGGTGTGATGAGGCGGGGACGAAGCCACCGGCACCCACTCCTGCTGGCTGGGCTCGGGGTGCCCCTGCCTCTGCAAGAAATGGCCTAAGCATTTGCACCTCCTCGACGAGTGGCCTGAGGAGGCGGTAGCAGTGTACTGACAGGGAACCAAGCTCCAGAGTCCTGTCATCCCGGTCCACACTGCCACCAGGACGAGTTCAGGCTGAACCACCGAGGACAGTGGCCGCCTCTCGGCTCTCCTGTGACCTCTGCGGCTCACGGCCAG